AAAATTTCAATCGCAGAGTTAACCTCTGCTGGATCAATCTGAGCGTACAGCTGTAAATCGTCAGCATACAGATGGTAGGAGCATTTGAAATTTACAGTTATGAGATTTATAAAAATAGAAAATAATAAAGGAGAAAGAATTCCGCCTTGTGGAACGCCAGTAGCAAGATCAGACCAATCAGAGAAAGACTGTTGATTGACCTTAACTCTTTGCTGGCGACCACGAAGATAAGTTGATAACCAATCCAAAACAGACGAAGAGAAACCCATGTATTTACAGATAGCAAGAAGAATGTCATGATCGACTGTACAGAAAGCATTAGAGAAGTCAATTAATACGAGAACTACTACTTTTGACTCCTCCATACTCTCTCGTACGTCCTCGAGAACTTTAAGGAGAGCTGTGGTTGTACTATGTCCGGGACGAAAACCAGATTGTAAGGGACTAAGAAGTTTATTTTTATATATGTAGCTGGATAGCTGTTTGTGTGCAGCTGATTCTAAAATCTTTGAAAGAAAGGGAAGTATAGAAATTGGTCTAAAATGGCTTAAAGAAGTGGGATTATTTAACTTGGGGAGAGGAAGAACAAATGCTTTACGCCAAAAAGATGGAAAAACCCCAGTAGAAAAAGAAAAATTAATGATGTGGGTAATGATTGGGAGAATGTAATCAATTACGGGAATAATCATATTTCTACTTATTTCATCATAGCCAGCTGCTTTAGATTTAATGGAAAAAATAATTTTACGAACATCTTCGTATTGGAGAAAAAGCAAAGCAGTTTGCATCGATTTTAGGAAGGGATGAGATGAGTGAAATGGTTTTATATTTAGTTGAGTTGTCGACTATAGGTGCCGAGGAGAAGTGCTTATTAAGATCATTGAGAGATATTGCCCCTATATCAGGGCAATTCCTTTGTTTACCTAACCCAAGTGAATTAAGAAACTTCCAAATGCCGGCTGGCGAAGAGCTTAAAATGTTCTTATGAATATGTCGGCGTTTTGCAGCTCGAACCATCTGATTGCATTTGTTTCTGGTAGCTTTATATATATTCCAGTTGGCATCACAGCGATTGTTTTTAAATCTTACAAAAGCCCGATCACGTTTTGCCATTGCTTTACGGATATCACTGTCCATCCACGGTGCTGGAGGGCGCTTGATCTTTACATTGCGTATCGGGGCTACTGCATCGAATAACTGAAGGATATTACTAGTCAGTGTCTCTACCATATGATTTACATCAGATGTATAAAAAATATCTGACCAGTCAATTGAGGCAGCCTTCCGTTTCAACAACTCCACATCCATAGTCGCAAAGCTACGCAGGCGCAAAACAGGTGCGGTAACTTTTGGCGATTTGATTCGATAGGTAATAAATAAAAAATCATGCCGCGAGAAGCCAGAAGCCGGAAACTGCCCATGATTTACAACATGTTCAGTAGACGAAACGATTATCAAATCTAACCATGAATCAGCAGTGTTAATATTAGAATGCGTGGGCCCAAGCGGGAGAATAGAGAAATTTACTGAATTCATGATCATTCGTAGTTCTCGTGATCTAGAGGAGCTGAGCAAAAGGTCCGTATTGAAATCGCCCATAATTATGTGATGTGCGTACTCAGATGCAATTTTCGAGAGAGCGGACTCAAAGTCATGAAAGTAGTTAACTGAGGGCGGAGAATACACAACTCCAAGAATAATTTTGTTTCCATTTAGAAGAACTTCTACAAAGAGATACTCAAGAGATCCAGACGCTATAGAGGGAGAAGATGCAATAACTTTATAAGGGATACCACAGCGAAGGTAGATCGCCACTCCACCACCTCGATTTCCTAATCTATCATTACGTAATAGCACGAACCCGGGCATACTAAATGAAGTCGAGAGTAAAGAAGGTTTGAGCCAGGTTTCGGAGATTAGAATAGCGTGGATCGTATCAGTAAAAATATGCAAAAGCTCTGAGAAATGTTGAGGTAGGCTCTGCGCATTGATGTGACAAACATTAAAATGTTTATAGGAATTTGTTATTTGTTGAGCAATAAACGTGTTTAGGCTAACCGATTCTATTACCGAATCTTCAGTGGACTTGAATGATAAATCTGAGTCAGAAACTGAGTGAAAGGAACCATCGTCAGACATTGTATTGTATAACGAATTAAAGTAATGTATATAAAATAGATAGGAAATATGTAAATATATAAATTAAAAATATATAAATATAACGGCACGCAGTTAATATAGGTACAAACCCGCCGGTCGACTGTTTACAATAAGCAAATAAGGCGTCTACAAAATTCATAATTATGACGTGATACAGGGTCATAACATCATTACATGGGTAGCGTGAGTTAAATTCAACATAAGCTGAACAGCATGTTGAATTTAACCAGCACAGAAAAAAAAATTGCTAATATACAAGAAAAGAGAAAAAAAAAATCACAAAATATTCAAATATTACTTTTTGGCCAAAAGCCCGGTAGGCACCGATACATGTATGAACGTAGACATTAAAGGAAAAACATTTCATATTTAACCTATGAATATGGCGCTATCTACTCTCACCCAAATGTACTCTGTGCAGACACATCTGTTCTGTTTATAAAGTCATAAAAATTATAATTTATAATCATGGACGTATAAATTTATAATGTGTACATACATCCTTCCTTATATATTATTATTACCCTCTGACATGCACAATAAACTATGACTCCTATGTATTTCTATACAACACACATAAACATTTCAACGTATATGTACTAGCAATAATATTTGATACCAAAAATTAGGTACAAATTATTATAAGACATTATTTCACAATCAGTATGATAATTAAAAGTATACAGAATTATCAAACAACGCAGGTATCCAGTTGTATTATTATATTCTAAGTGCCACTATACTTTTAAAATATACAATATAGTGACCATAATCCTAGTTAACTAATGTGCAATGAAATCAATATAACTAAAACTTGTAGGTTAAGAATAGAAATAATAACTACCAAAACTGGTGCAAGAGATAATACAAGACACTGTAAAGAAAATTAATGATCGTAGTTTAAATTAAACAAGTGCTTATTACCTATTTACTGAAACACTGAATTGACCAAAAATTGTCTTCTTATGTTACACTAGATAAGATAAAAATACAGGATAAAGTATATTGAAAGAAAAAGGTACAATATGTAATTTTAAGCTAATGAGGTAACAGAACTTAAACACTAAGTATAAAAAATTAAAAATATGGTGGAATGACCCTAGGGCCTGAGTGTATAAACAACTTATATTGCGATAAGATTACCAGTGATACAATAATGATTGAGATTTCACCACATTGATTACACAAATAAAAATCACATTACTTGATCTTCCCAGCACGTCTGCTACGAGCCAGTTCAGACTTTCCTGATGCCCGAGCTGCATTGTCACCTGATACCAACTGCACTACCGGATCCGAATCCTTACCACGAACAAACTTTTTAAGATCTTCTGAAGTCAGCACTTTATACCGGTTTCCATCTGGCAGTTTAATCGTGATGTTCCCATCCAGTGTCCAAACGTTACGCATACCGAAAAGTTTGCGTGCTTCTATAAATACAGCTTGGCGTTGTTTAGTTAGGAATTCAGATAGTACGTAGGGTGTGCCCTTAAGTGAAGCCTTTTTCTTCCAAACAGTATAGCGGAGGGATGAATCAGTAAGTCTGAAAAGTACAGGCCTACTATGGCCCGTAGATGCCGATCCAAGTCTGTGTGCAACTTTGAAGGACGAGGGTGTAATATCGTTGAGACCAAGGTTGTTTTTTAATATTGTGGTAACAATACCAGCAGTATTCTCTTCAGCCTTTTCAGGTACTCCACTAAGGATAAGGTATTTCTTTCGGTGTCTCATTTCCAATGAATCGGCTAACTGGCTCAGCTCATAAATTTGCTGTCGCATTAGCTTGAAGATCTCCTGAACATAGTCGCGAAAAGCATTAAATTCTTTATTAATCTGAACAAGATTTTCTGGTCTGGTTGAGGCAGTGCCAAGTTGCTGCTCAAAGTCATCCATTCTTTTTCGAAGTGTAGCTTCTATTGTTTTTTGTGTTTCAGAAATATCGATAAGGTTAGTCATTTTATGTAAGTAGATCACCGTAATTTAAAATTGATTTTAGATAATATGGTATTGACACAGTCGCCGGCAGGTATATTCACTGTTATTACCTTGACATTAAATTATGTCTATACAATACGAAATGATATCGACAATAATATTAAGATTAAACATGAAATTATGCAAGATTAATACTTTTTTACACTAAATACAATAAATTCAATCACAGAAACGTGTGTTAACTTTTTGAGCACCTACCCACTGCCATTTTCTTATAATTCTGAAAATGATTGTAATTTCCACAATTCAATTGCGATCTGAAAAGTGTCAGCTTGCATTGAAAGGGTGATACATGAGCGTAGAGCCCCAGCTCTATCTATCTAATATCAGCTGATTTTTGCCTTGAAGCCGTGTGTTCAAGACATTCAAATGATTTGTAATATCAACTAAAAAGCCAAATCACACAAACAATCAGGATTTTTAAGTTCCCGGGCATCCCTTTGCTTTTCCGCCAGAAATATTCCAATTTCTTCTATTAAATTTAGAAATCTTTCCAGTGTCAATCCACGACTTAGCCACCTTACTTCTGTATAATACAGTAAATCTCCATATTCGCTTTCGATGTCATCAAGGAATTGTTTGAATTGCCTATGATTGATTCCTCGTCATTTTATGAAATTTACAGTCGAAACTACCACTTTCATGACAATTTGAAATTCAATTTTTTTAGAACAGAGGGCTTCTTGGTGTATAATGCAGTGAAACTGCATGAGATCTTCAGCGTCTATGTTGTTTTCTAGCAGATGCTTTTTCAGCAAAGTAACTAGTCCAGAATTGACACCAATCGTCGAAGGAGCACCGTCAGTCGAAATTCCCGATAATTTTGATAAGTCCAAATCAGATTTTTAACACTCATCCAAAACAACACTGAGTATATCAACTCCTCTGGTTTGACCTTTCAATGAACACATTCCTAATAACTCTTCTAAGAGTTCAAAATCTTGAGTAACACCTCGTATAAATATCAGAAGTTGAGCTGTAGAACTAATATCAGTGGATTCGTCGAGTGCTAATGAAAAAAATTCAATGATCTTAGTTTTTTCATTTAATTGTTCCGCAATATTACCTGACAAATACATAATTCGTCTTTGGATAGTCATACGATACAGTTGAATTTTCTCAAACTTTTTTGCTGCTTCTGGACACATTTTCTTAGCGGCAATTCCTATGCATTCTTTTACAAAATCCCCATCATTGAAGGGGCGACTTCGCTTTGCTATCATTCTAGAAATTTCATAACTTACTTCTGTAGCTGTTTCTGAATCTTGAATGGGTTTTGTAAACATAGCTTGCTGACCAATAAGCTCCCGTTTTAAAGACAACATTTTTTGCTTTCTTAATTCGCCTGTAAACTTGGTAAAAGTAGGATGCTGCGTTTCATAGTGCCTTTTTGCGTTATATTCCTTTTCAATCGCAACAAAATTCTTGCAAATTAAACAAACGACTTTGTTATGCGACCATACAAAAAAGTATTTCTCAGTCCAAATTTCTTGAAACTGCCGATTTTCATCTTTAACCTTACGTTTTTTACTAGGTCGTGGCTTGTCCATGTTGCGTTCTAATCCTGGCTAGGATTAACACAGAACCTAAAAACAATTTCAGTACCTAGTTAAATTACCCATCCTTTTTTTAATTACCAAAAATAATAGCTTAAATAGGTAGGGAAACACTTATTAATAACAGAGATTTACTTACGATTTCACAACACAATTATACACGGCACTCGACGGGAAATCTACGTTGAATGTGGATCAAAATATATGACACCGGCTAGTCGAGTTAAAATCTACACTAAAACTATTGACACTTCACTCAAATTAAAACCGAACTGTCGGTTGCTGCGGTTAGCGTGGCTTTTATACCGCGCGTATAGAGTCGAAAACTGTCTGGAGAAATCACGAAACCGACTCTCGAAGCTTCGAGTATCTACCTACGCGAGCAATCGGGAATTCGGGACTATTGCTATCTCGCTTGCTCTAAAAATATAACCCGTGGATAAGCGGCCACCGCGCTGCCGTCGTCGCCGCGCCGCTGGCCGCGGCGGTTCCCCAAGAAAACGAATTTAACCGAGATCTGCACGAACATTACCGACCGCTGTTACCGATGCATGCACGGCGCACCGATAAGCGCACTTAAGAGCGCGCGCGTGAGATTTAATTTACTTTTGAACATATTTTTTTGGTTTTATTCTGGAATATAATTCAATATTTTTCGAATGTACGAGAGTATTATTTTGCTGTCGGCGGGCCACCAGTATTCGAATAGCATCCGTCCATTTACTATCAGGTGGACTATGTAAACTTTTGTCTCCCCTTTTCAATAAAAATATAAGCCGATAACTTTTTTATAAATAATCTCATTTTATGATACAAATGGTAATTATAATGAAAAAGCGTATAGCTGATATTATTAAGTATTTGCTTTCAGCTTTGAACAACCGACAACTGCAAACAGCTTTTTTTTAAATATCTCTCATAATTCGTTATATCCAAAGACATCAAAGTAATTTATGTGAAGTACTAAGTTTCTTACTGAATAAATTACTTGGCATCTTGGTATAATTAACAACAACTTTGCATTGAAGCGCTAAGTTGGTGAAATTTTGGAGTGAAATGTCACTAGTATGATTAATAGCGTATTACGTTAATTATTGAATTATACATATTAAGGAGAAAAGTCGTATAAAATCACGATTTGTTGTAATTTCTATTTGATTATGTGCGAACCCATGTAGTCGCGGTGTAAGAATATCTACTACTAAATAACATCCCAGGGGTCGCAAGAGACGCCATATTAGAACAAACTCGGAAATGGACAGCGGCAATATTCTCGTTTTTTTTATGGAAAAGGAGGCAAACGAGCATGCGGCTCACCTGATATGATGTAAATGATTACCGTTGCCCATGAACAGACGCAACGACAGGTGAATTGCAGGTGCAGGTGGTAGCCACATGCTTGCCAAGGCACAGGCAAATCCACGGGACGATATGGGGTGGTGGATATTCTTACACGACCACCATCCCCACGAGGCAAACAATAGGGAAGGCATATGTTTGCCATTTCACATTTATAGGCTTTGATGAAAGAGATATCAGGCGTGGGACCGATGGATTTACGCGGTTAGTGACGCACGGGAGTGAAACACAAACAAATTTATTACACTAGGATGCTACTGAGAATTTCTTGGCAGGGAATAAGCAATAACTGATTTCCGCCCGACCTGGAAATCGATCTAGAGATCACACGATCAGCACTTACACCAACGGTTAATTAGATCGACTTGGCAGACAAGATTATATTATAAAATTTTACAAAAATAGAAATGTTTACAATAGTCCAAGTGAATCGTCTTAATCTAGCAAAGTAAACTAAGAACTTAAGACCTCTGCTCTTCTCAAAATCGAACTAGTTATGATCGCGTACTATTGAATTTGAGGCGAACGCTTATTTCTTGAACTACCCTGTTTATTTTTTCATAATATTGTTAAAATTAACCTTGAACTAATATTTCCAAAATTGTAGTAAATGTGTTTTAATACTAAGATAATATGCTAACCAAATACCAATTTGTTATCCATTTACAACTTGCTATCGGCTGACATGGGGCGGACAGTCTGACTGACATCAGAACGAAACCTATTATTGAATATTTTCATTTACTTACAGGATTAGGTTAACAAACGAGCACATAGTCCACCTTATGGTAAGTGGTTACTGTGGCCCATAGACATCTATATCTATCCTCGATTACGAATCAAAACACAGATGTGTTGTCCCCCGTGAGAACTAAAATGGAATGCCTTGTTTCCAGTAAAAAGGGTTTTCGGTTCTCTACACTTACCATACGAAACACAGCAGCATTAAGCTGCTATTTTACGCTGGTATTCTGTAAGAGCGTGGTCCTTCCCCAGTCGAAGCGACCCAATCGTGCTATAACTATACCAGTACATCGTAAAGAAGTCCATTACTACGATTGATTATTGTTGATCATTTTAATCAGTCTACGATAATAAACCAAAGACAATAAAGTTTTCCAAATTTATGTACACCACGAGTCAGCAGCGATTTTTTTTTATTAGTTAAATCTACAAATGTTTAAGATTAAATATAGCCTAGATCACTATTGGCATTGCTCTCTATTTGTTCGTCTGGTTTCATTACAATTAATTCAGGTATTCCAAAAATTAGTTCGGACAGACAGGCAGACAGACAGACAAACATTTTAAAAATGGTTATTCCTATCTTAATGGTATTCAAATAACTTCCTGAGCTCTATTAAAGGCAGTTATTTCGATAAACAATTACATAAATGATGATTGTCATAAATCTAAATAACACTAAATTTATAGATCCTATTAAGGCGAAGCGAAGATTCTTTTCCCTAGTCTTTAATATGATTCATTCATAATTCATTCATAACAACTTATCGAAGTCCACCACTAAACATAGACCTACAAGTGAAACACCATGGGGTTTTATTCGGTGTGAGCCGAACATAACTGATCGTTATCTCTTCGAGGCGGATCATGTAACATAAGCATTTTCTTATGAATGTACCTCCCACAAGGAACTCTCCAAAGCAGTTTAGCCCGCGGATCTTAATAGGCATTTCCCCATGTAAGGCCTTAACAGTGGTTGAAATGCCTAAATCATGGATATTTAATTAAAAAAATCTCAAAAACTGTTCATTTAATCTACAAAAAAAAAATATAGGGTAACAGAAGAGGATTTGGTAAATGTTTTAAATTGAACAAAATTTTATTTTTGTCAACCCCTTATTAGAAAAAAAAATCCCCAATGAGTATCTATTTTCCAGCACACACAGCCGCAGCCCTTTATTACACGTATGTAAGACTTTAATGGAGTGGTCGTTGGCTAGGTTGTGTCCAGTGTCCAAAAGATGTTTGGCAAAATGGGATTTATCGGGATTGCAATTCCTGTACGCGGCTAAATGCTCTTTATAACGTGTCTCGAAATTGCGACCAATCTGACCCACGTAAACGGCGTGGCATTAGTCACAAACAAGTTTGTAAACACCTGACTTTTGACGAATATCCAATTTATCTTTATTATTACAGATATTTCTAAGAGAATTGTTTGTTTTGAACGCTACATAAACGCCGTTGAATAAAGGGTTGCAGCCGTGTGTGCTGGAACAGTTAGAGATATTAAAAAGTAATAATAGTACCATTGCACTGCTGAATGAACAAACAAATGTTACTAACTCACCTCTCTTAAATATCTTTAAGCCTGCTCTCTAATAATAGAAAGCCTCGCAATATGTTTGTTTGTCACCCTCACGGTGATCGGTGATTGGTTGCGTGGTTGGAGGTGAGGGGGGCGTTACGCGGCGGTTTGTTTTTTATTTTACAAACGGCTGCGTAAGTCCGGCGGTGATTGGTCACATGTTTTATCGCATGACGCAGTCGCTCGCTCCTTAAGTAGAGAGCGGTTGCGTCAGCGGCCTGTATAAATAGCAGTTGTTTTGGCTCGCCGCTCACTTAGCGGGTGGGAGGTGCTCTTCATACTAGGTAAGACACATCATTTTATTTTATAACGCGGATATTTGCGAAGTAAATTTTTCTAAAAGCTTTTGTACGTTTCATCAATTAACCATTAGTAAAAATTAAAACATTATTAGTTGAACCTTGCATCTTGTTCATTATTTTTATTATAAATACCTATAAATGCATATATTATTAATAAATAATTCCCATAATATTTTGTATTATTTTTTATTTTGCCCTATCTGCAATGTTCTATGTTCTAAAGAAAATGTGGCGTAGGACATGACTGAAAATCTCTCGAACGTTTTATCTAGGTAAAAAGATGTTTTCCGTTTTCGTCGCCTCCACATGATATTTTTGTCAGCATAAGGTACCCTTCTGTATCTGAAATGAATATGAATATTGCTGCAAAGTAAAGTAATAGGCTATACAAGTCCCTCTACTGGGCACAAGACTCTTTTTATTTCTGAGAGGGTTTTAGAGCAAGGAAACGTCTGCCGCGCTGCCCCAATGCGTGTTGACAAAAATTGAAATTACAAATTTCTTTCGTGCTGTCGGGGATCAAACCCGGGAAAAATTTACAGCGAACGCTTTGACCCAGGTCTACTAATAAGACGCAAATAAATACGATTTAACATATATAATAAAAAACTCTTACGTACTTGAAACTTGAACACTTGATAGCTCGTGACGCCTACCGAACAAAGCTACAGTACCATGTAATTGAATATGCGTAACCGGGACATAACTCTCAGTGATGCGCAAGCCTAACAAGCAGTATGTCACTTATAATTGTCATCTCTGCAGTCTATTAATCTTTGCAATTTTATAAGTAATACAGAACGTAGTTGCTAGACGGTGTTGACGTCGGCTAAAATCTCTACGATCGCCGTTTCGTCAAGGTCATTCAGGCTAGTTAAAGCCGTAACTCCCACAAGGAACTCCCCAAAGCACAGTCCTGGGCCACCTTCAACCATCGACTTCTTGCATCTCTTACCATGCTAACGCACGCACCTCTGAAATTATTAATTACAATTTCATTA